TTTTTTTTTTTTTTTTTTTTTTTTTTTACAGAATTCGGAAGGAGAATAGCGGATGAAGCAATGAAGGTAGTTAAATGTTACAAAGGAGAACTGGATTTAAGCCCTATTCTTATGATGTTGGCGAAGTCACAAACTTTTCAGAGATGGGCACTATGTTCTGAGGATTTGACTTGATACATTGGAGTCCTATCTGCAGGGGTGTTGAGTATTCACAGCTGCAACTGAAGTCAAGAGGGCCTATTCTTTGAATGTGTGAAGTGTTACATAGCTTGAAGTACTCTGTAGGGAAAAAAAAAAGCATGAGCATATAATTGGACTGGAGCCACAGTGTTCTTTTAATAGTTTTGTCTGTAATAAATGTCTATGTTCTGTTGATAAGAGTTCACAGACTAACAAATCCACAGTTTTGCAGAAATGAGTAGAAAGGATTAATTTTAACTCTTGTACAGTAGTGCACTCCAAATGTTAGTTTTATATCTATAACAACTTGAACTAATACACAGTAAAGTCAGAAGTTTCTGGATTTCTTACATCTTTCAAAATCCTGCCTCTGAAAAGAACATCTCTAATTTTTCAGTATTCACACAAATGCAGCAGGTGGTTTAGGCAAGTTCTTAGCCTACTCAAGTACTGTACTACAGCAACCTTTTCAAGCTTCGGTTGTGAATGTTAACATATTTTACATTGGACATCAAAGTATCTGAAAAGCAGCGTTGCTAAACAAGGCGTTATGTTCACTTCTGTGGAGTGTTGAGAGGATTATGAACAGACTCCATTTTCCAGTCTTCATACATACAAAGATGAGGCACAATTTTCTTTTCTACGTAAACTGTGTTCTTAAGTTAGATATAGTACACATGACTATGGGAATGCTTACACTTAGACCAGTGGTTTGTGACCTTTTAAGCTCCAAGACAGCACCTCCATAACTGTTTTGAATTTAGTGGCTGGTTAGGATTACTGAGCTAGAAGTTAAATTCAGAATAGTTATGGAGGGCTGCTTTGAGGCTAAAGAGGTTAAGAAAACACTGATGTAGCTGATGCCAAAGCAAGGTGGTGGGAGCAGGACCTCACACTGCTGTGCCCTGTTCTTTCCATTGTCTTCCTCCGCTCCCTCCCCCAGTCCACACCTGATGGGGCAAGGACAGACTCTACGGCCAAGGCGGCTCTTCTGGAGTTGTGCATACTGCTTCATTATATTGCACAAGTGTGCCCCTGGGAGCGTGGGAGAAGCTGCAGGGGTGAGCTGGTCTGAAAAGTGCAGCTCTATCTACACATCCACCTGCCTGCCCACAGGCAATGTAGGTGTGCTGGAGGGTGGAAGGGGCATTAGTGGCAGCAGTCCTTAAGAGAAGCAGCTGGGGATGCCTGGGGCCTGCGAGGTGCTGCAGTCAGTATGGGAAGTCAAACAGTAGGAGGAGAGTGCTTTACTCCTCATGTAGGCAGAGGAGCACCCCTCAAAGGATCTTGCAACACCCCAGAATGCCATGTCAAGATAGGACTGTCCCTTAGAAATTTTCAGACTTAAGCTTATAATGTGAAGGCAAAATAGGCACGTAAATAATTTATGGTTGATGCTAGTGACAGCCAGCAAAATGTTTGAGCATGTTAGATTATCTGACACAGAAACTGATACTT